CCATTGTCTATCCACTGCAGGATGAAGACCTCTTCTGCATGTTTCCAACCTATACGGTCCTGAGATTTCTTTTGCCAATTGGACCCATAATATTTGCTGATGTCGTCGATCCACCTTGTTTTAGGTCTCTTTCATGAATGCTTTTTTATCAAGAGAGATCCATTCTATGACTATTTTGGTCCACCTGCCATCAGTTCTTCTTGCTATGTGACCAGCCCATTTCCATTTCAATTCTTTTACTCTTTTGATGATAGAGTATATTTTTGTTTGTTCTCTAATTCATGTGCAAGTCTTTCTATCTGGTTTTGTAATTCGAGCATGTATCTTTCCATGGCTCTTTGAGCCACTCATAGCTTTTGAATCGATTGTGAGATTAGTGTTCATGTTTTAATGGCATATGTTAAGAGCTTAGTAGACACTGATCAAAAACTTTTCTCTTCAGGCATAAGGGAAGGTTGTTCTTCAAAATTATGCTTAGATTGCTGAATGTCTGATTTGATTGCTTATTGTACCCTATGACTATCATTAAGTGTTGTACCTTATGATTCTTGACTCTTGATGAATGTATCTTTTCTTTTATGTATACTGAGAGCATTTGCACCAAGACACGTTCCTTGTGTGTCCAATCACACTTGGCCAATAAAGAATTCTATCTATCTGTCTATCTATCTAGCTATGTCTGCCAACCACATTTAACATGCCATGCAATTTCCTTTATTGTATCGCCTTCCATTGGATCCATTGGCCAAAGTATATGTAGTGGTCTACTATGTCTAATAGTAGATAACTAAATGATTTGAGTAGCAATAGCTAAAACTGAATGTTGGAGTTAAACTAAGCTTTATCCTGAATTACAGATGTTTCCTATTAATAAATGATAAGCAATTCCTATTGCTTTGCATTTTTAAGTATGCAGTGCACTTTCTTCACTGAGATTTTGAACTACTTTCTCTATAAATTTGGATATGTGTGATTAAATTTGATTAAATCATGCTATATACTTTAAGAATGTTGGTATCTTTGTTTTTTAAGATTCTTTTGTCTTGTTTCTCTGGTCAATGCAGCTGGGAATGATAAAACAAAAATGTATCTGGGCAGAGGTCACTACTACATATTTTACTAAATTATTTGGAAAGCATCTGTCCTCAAATTTCCATCTCAGGAGTGGACATAGAAGGATAAAGAAAATATCACAGGAAGAAGTGGAAAATTTTTCTTGACTTTCAGTCGAATGGTTCCTACTGCTCCTGTTGAATAGCACATTTATTTATTTTAGCTGATCATCTGTGGAGGCTCTGTTTGCTGCTACCTGCCCAGCATGATATTCTGGCTATTTCATCCCTCCCTGTCAATTTCTGAATATGTTTTGGCATGATGCCTAACTGGAAAGTTTGACGACTTCAGCAGACATTGTTACAGCAACAGGCATCAGAGTAATTCAGCTACTTAATCACACATTGCTTCTCATCTGAGTGCTGTTGAAAGGAGAAAACTTTTGCTGGTTGGGCTGCTTTTCTATTCCTGCCAGCTTTAGCTTTCCATTACCAATAAGAGGTTATACAGCGTACATCTCTGCACACTGTACACACTATATGTAAAGGAGGTGTTCAGATTTAATTTATTCCTTGCCCTGGATAAAGATTATTGCAGCTGTGTGTTTTGGAAACCTATCAATGAAGGGAGTTCAGCTCATACAACAAGCTTTGAATAAGGTACTGTATTCTGTATTTCCAGGATCGTTTAAATTGCACTTGCATACTAGCAGGAGAACGCCAAAATCTGAAACATGTTTCCTCCTAGATGGTAGTTTAGCCTAAAGTTTGTATTGTACATCATATGATCAAAACAAGTTATTTTAGATGGAATGCAGAAGTTTGTCTGCCACTGAATAGGCTTCTATAATCACTTACCTCCAGTTTGTTTTAAATAGTTGTGTTGCAGTCAGATAACCCATTATAGTGAATGGTTCTGACAGTGTGTGCTCAGGATTTTAAGCATGTGTAAATATTAGAATTCCCCAGAACAAAATGTATAATAGAGTAGAGTCATCCCTAAGGATGTGGATAAGATAATGAACAAGCTGGCATACTTTTCCATTCAGTTGCAAAAAATTAGTTGCATTTTCTTCAGTATTGATGATTCTGGGAATTGTAGCTCAAGAAACTAGAAAGGGTTAAGTGTGTCCAGACCTGAATTAAACCACAAATCTTTGACCATTGTAAATAGGCATTGGAGGATGTTTTATAATAAATAAGATTTATTTCCCAATATTGTTGATTTGATCCAGCAGTATGTCTCTGAGACAAATCTCTACCATCTGATTCTTTTTTAAACTGGATATTGGGGACATTATTTGCTATATGGGAATCTTTGGGTCTGTCCTTAAACTTGGTCACTTGAGGCTCTGCTGTTCCACAAGCTTATTTCCTGACTGCAAAGGTTCCTTCTGTATACTGCTACATCAAACAAAAAGATCAGTTTGTTTCCAAAGTAATATGAGACAACTAATTTTAATGACTTTTTTAAAAAAATGATGCAGAATGCAGTCTAGCTGCCACTTTTTCTATTGGTTCAATTTTCCAACTACAGAGAGTCATAACTTAATTATCCTAACTGGAACTGGCAACTCCACCCTACTTAGTGACAGCAGTTTCAATTGCATTCATTAAGCAAATCACCTAGTGGTTAAGAAAGACATATGACCACAAAACTCTGTGATTATCATAAACATACAATAGTTATCAAGTACACAAATCACAATCATGTGACCCGTAGGTGTGCTCCATAAGCATGAGAGCAGATTGCAAATCACTTTTTTCAGTAGGATTGTAGGATATAGCTGTCCCTTGTATAAAATTCCTGAGACATTAGAACAAAATATATTCACTGGAAATATTTTCCTGCATGAAACATCAAGTTATAAATTACCAAGTAGGTACATTTTGTTTACTATTTTTCTCAAGTTAAGCTTATTGATATCTACATTCTGAGTTCTTAAGAATATAGAAACTTCTCCAAAACCAAAATTTCCCAAGAACATCAAAAACTTCTTCCTATCTCCTTAAATTCTCCAAACCAACAATTTCTCCAAACCCCAAACCTTATTTCCAAGACAGGGTATACAGCATATTCAGTGGAAGAAGTTGTCTTCTAGACCTTGATCACTTACTTTTACTCACTGAACCATTAATATTATCTATTTTTCAAAGCATAACTCCAAAATGCTGCTGGAGAACAATCCCAGCCTAAGTAACTGAAATCAATAGTTATTTTGAACAGCACCGATAGTTTCATTCCTTATTTCTCCCTTTTTCAGGATATGATTAATAGCCATTTTATCAGTCCTCCTGATCCTGGAAACAAGTATGATGTTTTTGCAGAAAATTAATGGCAAAATCTATAATGTAGGACTGAATATTGTTTTTACATCTTGCTTGAGCAACAGTAAGAAGAACACAGCAATCTGTGAGTGTAAGTAGCATAAGGACAAATTGTAACCTTTTCCTAGGGATAACTTTAGAAGAGATTTGCAAAACTCATTTTGGGAACATTATAAGCGAAAATGGGGACGTAAAGGTGAAGAGATTATCTATTTTCAGCACTGCTGTAAAGTTTCAAATGTGGTAAAAACCATCCGATTCTGGTTGTAATTGTGCTGCAGCTATACCCTTTCCCGGGAATAAGTATAATTGAAGAATGTTGGTCCAGATGATCTTAGTGGTACATTCCAAGCATATAATTCTATGAACCAATGGTATCCATAGAGACCAAAAAAGTCAAGATGGCAATTACAACTATGTAATTAAAGTCTTGTCTTTTTGTGCATGTATTGCAATTGCTATCTTAATATCTGCTGGAGATGTTACAACAGTTGTAAGTGTGAAAAGCAGTCATAAGTCATTTTTGCCACTATAACTTCAAACAGTCACTAAAACAAACTGTTGTCATTTAGGATATCTACAGCAGCAGCAGATGTGCCTATTGTAGCAATCTTCCAAGTAGATCTTGATTCCATTTAGAATTTTCTCTTTTCTTCACTGCATTTATTCCTTGACCTTTTATAGCAGCCTCAAAGATTGAAGTGAAGATGAAAGAGCAACACCTCACCAAGAACCCATCCTGTATCAAAATGCTCTCAAGACCACCAAAGAAAGACCAAGTTAAACAATGGCGCATCTAAGGGGTGCCAGGCTTTTATTGCATCCAGGGGAGTTATTAGGCTCATAAGGGAAAATAAGTATAGTCCTCGACTTACAACCACAATTGTGCCCCAAATTTCTGTTAAGTGAGATATTTGTTAAATGAATTTTGCCCCATTTTATGACCTTTCTTGCCTCATTTGTTATAAGGGAATCACTGCAGTTGATGTTAGTAACTTGGCTGTTAAGTGAATTGACTTTGTCAGATGGGGATCCCATGACCTTGGGACACAGCAGTGGTCATAAATCTGAACCAGCTGCTGAGCATCTGAATTTTGATCACATGATCATGGGGATGCTGCAAAGGTGTGAAAAATGGTCATAAGTTCACTGCTCTCAGTGCCCTTGGAACTTTAACCGGTAAATAAATGAACTGTTGTAAATCAAGGACTACCTGTATTCTGCACATTCTTTTAGGAATATCTATGGAGATTTCTTTAGGAATGTTTTTTGCCTCTTCTGCTCCTGGAGGCTTCATGCCAGAGGAGCACAAGGCACTTCAGAATAGCCTCCCCCTCCCGCTTCTCCTTTACCTATTCTCCCCCCCCCCCCCCCCCCCCCCCCCCCGCACGGCTCTCTCCTCCAGTTTCCCCACGACCGCGAATGGCGGCACGATTTACATCCGCAGGCATCGGCAAGCTTATCTAACGCGCCACGGATAGATGAGGAGGAATGATCTTCCCCGCCCCAATGGCCTCCAGGTCAGGGATCTCCAACCTCGGCAACTTTAAGCCTGGAGGACTTCAACTCCCAGAATTCCCCAGCTGGGGAATTCTGGGAGTTGAAGTCCTCCAGGCTTAAAGTTGCCGAGGTTTCCAGGTGGCTGAGGAGAACGCGGCGATTGTTAACTCGGCTCCCTTCAGGGCTCGGCCGAAGGCAGCCGATCTAGAAGCATCTCCGTGGAAACGCGCTTCGGTTCGCGCCATCATTCACGCGCCTCCTTCTTCTTCTCCCTTTTGCCCGGCAAGTGGCGGAGAAACGGAAGAGAGCTTGGACGTTCAGCGGAAACGGAAGCGCGTCCCGCCAGGGAGATGGCGGCGCTGGTGAAAGTCGCGGTGAGTCGGGCGCGTGACCTGTTGGTGGGGAGCTTCTTTCCTCAAAGTGGCCGGGGCGCTGCTTCTGAGGAACGGATGGTGCGATGTTTGCAGGCTTCCCTCCTGAGGTGGGGGAGGGAGGAGGGATTTTTTTTCTTTTTTTTGGCCCGGGGTGCTCTGTTTTGCCTTCGTTGCTCGGTCGAGAGCGAACCTTGATGTATGAATGGCAAGCCCACGCGATAGCAAGAGCACTATATGCCGCTTCACGGTACTTTTGACAGCCCGCTCTAAGCGGTTTACAGAGTCGCAGGATGGTTTTCAGCTGCAAGTCGGAGCCAAGGCAGAGGCTGCCTGCCTAAGTACATTCCCTGAATGTCTATGGAGAGTCCCAGTCATCCAAGACCTGGTGGTCCCAAAGGTGCTTTTTCAAGAGGCAACTGGACTTTGTTGGTTTTTTTTTTTTTTTAAAAAAAAGACATTTCATTTCTCATCCAAGGACCTTCTTCACCTCTGACTGGATGGTGGGGAATGAAGGATTTATACTCCTTGCACACAACTCCTTGCAGAAAACTGGACATTTGCATTCTTTTTAGAGAGTCATTAAGGCCACCTAGATTCCCTAAAAGGATGCAGATGACCAGCTATCTGCAAGGAGGAGTATAAATCCTTCCATTCCTCACCATTCAGTGCAGAAGCTTGAAGAAGTTTCTTGGATGAGAAGTGAAATCTCTTCAAAGAAAACAAAGTCCAGTTGCCTCTTGAAAAAGCACCTTTGGGACAACCATGACCTGGATGACTAAGAATCTCCATAGACATTTGATAGGTTAAAGAAATCCATCCCCACAACTTCTCAAGGCAGAACTTTTGAGCCAACCATTAATTGTCATAACAATTAACACACTTAATTCTATACCTCTATCGTGCTGATGAGCATTGTTCACTTTTGTTTGGAAATGTCAATGGAGATGGTTTATTCTGAATTCATTTGGCACTCCCATTACTCTTTGCATGTCTGTGTTTCCTGTAACCACTGATGTGTTGCTTTTCCCGTTTGCCTGTTAGTTGTTCAATAATGCCAGCATATATAATAGAAGAACAGAATTGGAAGGCAGCTTGGGGGTCTTCTAGTCCAACCCTATACTAGGGCAGGAAATCCTACACTACTTCAGACAAATGGTTGTCCAATCTCTTCTTAAAAATTTCAAGTGTTGGAGCATTCACAACTTCTGGAGGCATGTTGTTCCACAGATTCATTGTTCTAACTGTCAGGAAATTTCTCCTTAGTTCTAGGTTGCTTCTTCCTTGGACTTTCTTATAGTAACTATAAACATTAAAAGGTTAGAAGAAATATGAACATTTTGCAAGGCAGATATATCACCATGTATGTAGTTTAAATATCTGTTAGTGAGATGTGTCTTTATACACACAGTCCAGAGACAAAGAACAATTTTACTAAACTAAATCACTTAGATCCAGTTATATCTCTTGTATCCAAATACTTGTTTATACTTTTCCTAACACTGCAGTTAATGGAAGTGATTTTTTTTTCATATTATGTACTGTGACTATCTTATCATTGTAATTATGACCATGTTTAGCTTTATATTGTGAAATATTCTGGCTCAAAACTGTTGCTGGTTACAATTGATACGGACTCCTTAAATATGCTTTTATATGGAAGCTGTATGGTGGGAGGGTGTTTGTTTTGATTATCACTATTAATGTGATATAGCATTTTAATTATACTAGTATCATACTTCATTTTAATTTTCTCGTAATATAATAGTTTTTCCCAAGTTAATTGTTTTATTGCGCTATAAAATATAATACATTATAATATACAGATAATAGCCAAGTTCAGTGGCATTTCTACAATAGAAATTAGAAATGTTCTTCATCTAACAAGTGTTATACATCTATTGAAAACCTATTGAATAATTTATAATTTAATGAAATTACTATGGTCTTATAATGAGTGTTCCTTTTAGAGTATAATTTTTAACAGGATATTTCAGGATGATTTAGGCACATATCAGTGTTACAATAGGATATATATATAAATATATATATAAATATATATATATAAATATATATAATTAATATAATATAATATAATATAATATAATATAATATAATATAATATAATATAATATAATATAATATAATATAATATAATATAATATAATAAATATAATATAACTGGATAGTAGTACAGAATATATCATTACTGTCATGCATCAATGCATTCTACAATATTGCATTGAAAATATTTTTTTTCCTTAGGTTCATGAGGTGAATGCATAGTCAACCCCCACCCCAACTAAAAATATTAACCATACACTGAAAAGTTACTAGAATACAAATCTGCGTAATAATTTGTCACTTTGAACTGTAATTGAATATGTTGAAAATTCATATGGTTGAAGTATACTGAGGAAATTCAGAATCTTCAGAAGACAAGTACATTTATATTTTATATTAAGTTGTACACTCTATTGAATTTAAATTTTGTTCCAAATGAGTGATCATTGATATATTCTCTTTTATTTTCTTTTTCTAGATGCACTGTACTAGAGAACCTCACTGGATTGCATTATGCAATGGATTGATACAAACAACATTAGCTCAACAACAATGGGGCAGATTGCTCCATTCTTCTTTCCAGGTAGGAATTCAATCATAATGGGGCAGAATTCTCCATGGAAATTGCTGGATAACATATTTTTACAGGTATACAGGCTGAAAGAATTAGAACTTTATCAGTGTACTGTATTGTGTGGGAATTTTATGGGAATGTTGAAAGAAATGCGTCCTCTAGCTTTAATCTGCTAAATAATTTGAACCTGATGTGATTTACTGTATTTTCCTTTATCATTCCTGAAGGCTAATTTTATCTGCTGTGCTATGCAGAAATGGTTGACTCCAGTATGTAACTTTCAGGTTTATGTTATCTCTTAAGTTAACAATGTTTCTCTTCTGCATTATTTTTTGCATACTTATGTCCTTTCTTTTTGTTGTTTTATCAGAGACACAACAATGGCCAGTTTCCATTAACCAAAGTTTGCTGTAATTTAGTACAAAGTATCAGGACAATGAAACAACCAAACAGAACATTTCATCACACAAAGGTCAGGAGAAAGCAAAATTTTCTGTTACAATTTTGTTGTTCAAATGTACTAGGCTACACTTGTGGTCTTATTGGATCTGGAGATTTCTGGATTTGTGTAGGAGAAGTGTGCCTAATTTTAGAGGCTACCTTTATAGCATTATGTTTTTCAAAGAACTTTCCCTATTTGTTGAATCTTCATAAGAAAACTAATGTAAGGGCTGTTGCGTGCAGTATTTCTGATTCTTGCTGAGCAGTGCTTGCTTATTCTAGAGACAGAGACATCTATGGACTACCATAACAGTGAAAAACAGCAGTATAGGCAGAGTCGGATTTTGAGGGGCATCTGCAGAGAGGGATAGTGAGTGATGCAAATAGTGTTGTGACACAAGCCTCACTATTTGTTATGTGTGTTATGATGCCACACAAATTCGCAAAAGGGATAGAGCAGGGATGTCAAACTCATGGCATCACGGCGTCATCACTTTCCCCGCCTTTGCTAAACCAGGCATGAGCGTGGCCAGTGTGTGACGCATCTGGCCCATGTCCCACGAGTTTGACAGCCCTAAGATAGGGTTTCATTATTTAAAAAATACTCTCTTGATCATTTTGATGAAAGCAGCAAGAGCCTAAAGGCAGAATTGCAGGTCTTCATGTGTTATTTATTATGACCAATTAAAACAATGGCTTTCTTAGGCATTGTAATCAGAGGCATGTATCTACTAAGAACATTTCAACAGGGCCTTCTGAGAGTTCTCCCATGCAAAGCTACAGTGGATCAGTCAGTAGGTGTTTTTGGTTGTGGCCAAAACACCAACTATCCATGCTTTGAAAGTTTCTACCTTTGGAGGATTGTACAGCAGACTTCCAGCCAGCCTTAAGGTAGTCAAATCAGCTTTGTTTTTCTGTTAACCTTAAGGTTTTTGTGGCATCCACTTGGGCCAGTTTTTTCTTCTTCTCAGTGGCGCTTGCTTTTTTAAAATCTGTTTAATACTATTCCAAGTCTCCAGATTGGGATAATCTACAAAACCTAGGAAGCAAATATCAATTCTCTACCTTCCCATCAGTAGCAGCAGAACTGCTATTGGAATTGTGTTTATAAACTACATACTTTTTCAATACATTCTTTCAATTACATAGTCACAAATGTTATCTAGATAAACTTGAATAATTAGAAGTATTTAGAAATTCATCTTGTGAAGTTAAAAATAAACTGTCTCCTTTATTCCATGTGAAATTTTAAATGATACTGGTAGCCTTTAACTTACAACCATTTGTTCAGTGACCGTTCAAAGCTACAATGACACTGAAAAAAGAGACTTATGACCGCTTTCATACTTATGACAGTTGCAGCATCCCCATGGTCATGTGATCAAAATTCAGATGCTTGGCAATTGGTTCATATTTATGATGGTTGCAGTGTCTTAAGGTCACGTGCTCCCCTTCTGCAAACTTCTGACAAGCAAAGTCAGTGAGGAAGCCAGATTCACTTAACAACACTTGTTACCTTAACAGCTCCAGTGATTCATTTAACAACTGTGGCAAGAAAGATCATAAAATGGGGCAAAACTCACTTAACAAATGTTTCGCTTAGCAATATTAATTTTTGGCTCAATTCTGTTCATAAGTCGAGGGCTTATGGTGGAGAAGAAAAATATGGCAAACATTATCCATTTTGATACATTGTTTTTACAGTATATTCAGGTCAAAAGTATTTGTACCCCTCCCCTTTTTCTCAAAGAATCTCAATTACAAGAATATGTTAAATCATACATCAAAAGCAAAATGTCTGCTCTATGGAGTGTGGAATAAAGAATGATGGGTACCATTTATTTGTGCCAGTTTCAACTTATTTCATAGCTAATTGGGATTCAGATTATGCAGTAAAGGGATACAAGTCATATCTAACATAGCTGGGATGTCTCTAGTCTAGGGTTTACATTAATTGGATTCAACATATAGATGGAAGGTATCTTTTTGCTTCATTTTTTCAAAAATGGTCATTGGAAAAAAATGGGAAAACTTGTATCAATTTAGATCTGGCATTTAGAACTGATTATAGTTTTAACTGTTTGAAATTTATGAATCAAAATGTGAGTTTTATAACTTTTTGCTTTTATTATAGGTTTTTAGAAATTCTGCTCAGCCATCTGAAGAGAAAGTAGGCACTTTCACAAAGATAATAGAAGCAATGGGATTTACAGGGCCACTAAAATATAAAAAATGGGTAAATATTTTTCTTTTTAAGTTTGATCCTCTTTTTCATAAACTTGTTACTGTTATTTGGTCTAAATTTTGATGTAACACCAAATTCCTAGTCCAGAGAAATGATGACTGTATTTTATAGAATAATCCTATTCATGCTTATTGAGAAGCATTGAATTATCCTAAGGATGTTTATAGGACTGCAGCTATTATACTTGAAGATCAAAATGCTAACTTTGGCTGAATATTTTCTGCATGTCTAATTGTGACCCAACATGCTATGAACTGACTTAATGTTTTTCTTCTTTTCTGACCTTTGAGTGGTCTTTGAATAGCTTGTAATCATGTTAATGATAGCAGTGCAGAATACATTATAAATGTAAAATAATTGTTTTGAATTTGAAATGGGCTGTTTCAACTTTAAATTCTGAATCTGAAGCAATGCTCAGAAGAGTATAAAACATGATTGTTCAGTGCTTGGAATAATTATGGTGTAGTTAGAATACATGTCATATTGTTGGGACTTTGCATCTCTTTTGTTGCAACCCAGCAACTTACTATGTAAGGAAATTTATTTTTAAAAGGAAAGACTAAGTAAAATAAAGAACATTCCAAATTTAGTTTTTAAAAAAATCAAATGCTCAACTGACTCTCCAAAAAGCATTGAAAAAAAGTAATGTTTTTATAACTAAGATCTACTCAATTGTTTATTTATTAAAGAAGTTGTTAAAAAGACTAATGAGTAGAGTAAAACTCAAATACATGGTAATTATATAACTTTTATTAATATAATATATTGCTAGAGCTTGCTCCAGAGATAGTTGGAATGCATTTTTAAATAGCATCATCCATATCATTTTTAATCTAAAAGTTGTTTTTAAAATTTCTGGGTACTGATGTGTTGATGTGGCATTATAAAATCTCCAATTTACCTAGCAATATCTGTAATCACAGATTACAGATGCATGAGCCATGGAATGTTTTTATATGATCTTCTCATCAAGGTTTATTTACTTTAAATATTGTTTTAGGAAAGACTAAGCATACTGTATTGTTTCTTAAGAAGATTACATCATTTTTAAAGTACCTGACAGGATGTTTCAGATAAAGTCAAGAATGTTTACTACCATTGACCTAAGAGATTAGCAAGTCCAATAAGTGCACACTGCAGAATTCACCACACAACCCCTGATTGATCTAGCCTTGGGGTACAAGGTAGAGAATAATCCTCTGAAGTTACAGGAAAGCAGATTCCGGTTAAGTAATAAGATAAAATAAAATATGAAAAGAATATTTCAATTTGGATTCTTGTACTGAGGTTAGGAGCATATGTTAGTGGAAATGAAGTATTGCTAATCTAAGTTATTCTAAACTGAATATTGTTAAATGAAATTAAATAACTAGTTTAATACGTTGTGATTCAATAATCTTTTTAGTTTGGTTTTTATTTTGTATGCTGCTCTTTTGCTGTTTGCGAGATGGGCAGCTATATAAATTGGTTTAATAAATAAATAATGCATATTTAACTAATAATAAATGATATATAAATGTGAATATCTCAAAATATAGAGGAACATTTGTGTATTTTTGCAGAAGTTTCTTAAGTGAAAAATAGAAATGATACAACATTGTATTAAGCATAATTGTCTTTTCTCTTCAGAAAATTAGAATAGCAGCACTACGCATGTATACATGTTGCGTTGAGAAAATAGACTATGAGGAATTCTTTAACAGTAAGTTCTCCATCCTCTCCTCTCTTCTCGCTATCCTGTTATTGTGAATAGAAATAGGACAGCTTACAAAACTCAAATCTTGCCATTTGCCTCCTCTAAGTTGCTTTGAAAGGATTATCACACAGCCACATAATGCATACTGAAAAGAAAATGAAGGAAATTATTTATATCTAATTGACAATTTCTTTAAACAAAATATATATGTAAAAAGTAACTGCCATTATAACTGAGCACCAATTTCTTTGCTGACTGAGGCTAACGCATTTTATTATAAGGCATAAGTTTTTGTGAGATGCTGCTCATCAGATACAGGGAATAGCTTAACTGATGTAAGATTTAAATATATTGGGACGGGATAGGGAAAGGTAGAGGAAGATAGGTTGGTTTTGCAGATGAAGATTTCATAGAAGACTGGTTATAGGTTACATAACTTATATACGTATATAGGTTATACATTTACGAATTGTAATGTTTTAAAATCTTTTAATAACGATTCCAAAGCTGACATTATTATTCACACCCTTATCATTTTCATCTCCAATCTTGAAATGGGAGAGAAATAGTATTTCTGTTATCTCTGTTAGCACAGAAGTATAGGCAGTTGTCAAAGTCAATTCAGAACTATCCCTCTATTCCTACTCAGTTAGTTTACTTGGGCTTCAGCAGGAAAAGCAAGAAGGGTGTGGGACCATGACAGACAGACATGGGCTACAGGGAGGTGTCAGACAGTTAGCTTCCTGTTTCTGTAAAAACCATTGCCCACAACAGTGCTGTCTGGTCTTGGAAAGGGAGCACCATCCCAGACCATGTTCTTATACACTACTTTATCCCTGCAGGAAACCCACAAGACCTCTATGATTAATAGAATAGAATAGAATAGAATAGAATAGAATAGAATAGAATAGAATAGAATAGAATAGAATAGAATAATAATAGAATAATAATAGAATAGAATAGAATAGAATAGAATAGAATAGAATAGAATAGAACAGAACAGAACAGAACAGAATACTTTATTGGCCAAGTGTGATTGGACACATAAGGAATTTGTCTTGGTTTAAATACTCTCGGCATACATAAAAGAAAAGATACATTCGTCAAGAGTCAAGAATCATAAGGTACGACACTTAATGACAGTCATAAGGTACAATAAGCAATCAAATCATACTAGGAAACGGTCAATATAAATCATAAGTATACCAGCGATAAAGTTACAGTTATACAGTCATAAGTGGGATGGGATGGGTGATAAGGAGTGATGAGAAGATTAACAGTAATAGTAGTGCAGGCTTTGTAATAGTTGAACAGAGTTGAGGGAATTATTTGTTTAGCAGAGTGATGGCCTTCGGGGGAAAAACTGTTCTTATGTCTAGTTGTTCTGGTGTGCAGTGTTCTGTAGCGTTGTTTTGAGAAAAGGAGTTGAAACAGTTTATGTCCAGGATGTGAGGGGTCTGTAAATATTTTCACAACCCTCTTTTTGACTTGTGCAATATATAGGTCCTCAATTGAAGGCAGGTTGGTAGTAATTGTTTTTTCTGCAGTCCTAATTATCCTCTGAAGTCTGTGTCTGTCATGTTGGGTTGCAGAACCAAATCAGACAGTTATAGAGGTGCAGATGATAGACTCAATAATTCCTCTGTAGAACTGAATCAGCAGCTCCTTGGGCAGTTTTGAGCTTTCTGAGTTGGCATAGAAAGAACATTCTTTGTTGTGCTTTTTTGATGACGTTTTTGATGTTAGGTGTCCATTTTAGGTCATGTGATATAGTAGAACCTAGAAATTTGAAGGTCTCTACTGTTGATACTGTGTTGTCTAGTATTGTAAGAGGTGGTAGTATGAGAGGGTTTCTTCTAAAGTCTACCACCATTTCTACGGTTTTGAGTGTGTTCAGTTCCAGGCTGTTCTGGTTACACCACGATGCAAGTTGTATAACCTCCTGTTTGTATGCAGATTCATCGCTGTCTCGAATGAGACCAATCACTGTTGTCTCATCAGCAAACTTCAGTATTCTAACAAATGGATCTTTTGAGATGCAATCATTGGTATCTAGGGAGAAGTGGAGAAAGCACACAGCCTTGGGGGACCCCTGTGCTGATTGTACAGGTATCAGATGTGATTCTACCTAGCTTCACCTGCTGTTTCCTGTCTGTTAGGAAACTTATGATCCACTTACAAGTGTGTTCAGGTACCACTAGCTGGTTTAATTTACTTAGAAGAGTGTCTGGGATGATGGTATTGAATGCTGAACTGAAGTCTACAAAGAGGACCCTTGTGTAGGTATTTGGAGATTCAAGGTGTTGTAGGATGTAATGCAGAGCCATATTAACAGCACCATCTGTCGATCTATTTGCTTGTTATGCAAACTGCATGGGATCTAACAGCGGATCTGTGATGCTTTTCAGGTGGGACAGCACAAGCCTTTCAAAGATTTTCATAACTACAGATGTTAGAGCAACTGGTCTGTAGTCATTCAGTTCCTTGATGGGCTTCTTTGGCACTGGGATGATAGTAGAGCATTTGAAGCAAGAAGGAACATAGCACATCTCTAGTGATCTATTGAAGATTCGGGTGAAGATGGGGGCCAATTGGTCAGCACAGACTTTTAAGCAAGAAGGAGTTATCTTGTCTGGCCCTGGTGCTTTTCCTGGCTTTTGTCTGTGTAATAGATCTTGCACTTCTTTTTCTGTGATCACCAGAGGTTGTGAACCCAATGGGTTGGGGCCAGTTGTAGGAGGCTTGGCTGTTGTTGGTGTGTAGGGCTGCAACATTCAAAGTGGTGCTTTGCAATGTGCCCCAATAGGAATGAAACATCATTCCATAAAAGGAATTATGCATCCCCTGAAAGATTTGGCACAGCTGCTTAGAAGGCTTGCCCAGGTCATCTTTGAATTGGTTGTCTTCAACTTCCAGAAATTTGGCTAAAAATCTGAACATAAAATCACTAAAATGCCATGGGATTTAATAACTGAATGAGATTTCATAAAGGCTTTGGACAGAGCACTTAACACCATTGTGAAAGCTCATAAGATGTTGCCTAGAAAGATTGCTGACTTTGAATTCCTATGTTAAGTAATGCCCTTTGAATTCCTATGTTAAATAATTTGTGGTAATTACATGATATGCACAAAATTGTTTTTATACCGCATTGCTTAAAATCAATCATGTGGTTTGTTACAAAGTACTAGTTTATCAAAAGGCAAATTGCAGAGTCCAACATATTCCCTACTAACTGAAACACTAAAATACCGTGTTAATGTAGATGGATAATTTTATCCACCATCACCACCCCCATTGTCACCATCACCAGTTCCTCCAAAGCTCTGATTTCCTCCAGCTTCTCTCAAGTTTCATAGGCTTATGTGTCAATCTAGCACTGGAGAAAAAGAATTAGCTGAGGTACACACATGCATATGTGCAGACTTTTTCCTCCTTGTATGTTCACAATAGATGTGTATGCAAGCCAACTCATGTATGTTTTTAAATGTGTAAGTATAAAATACATTTTCACTCATTTTCACATTTATTTTTAAGAATTACAGATCCCTGACACTTTCAACTCTTGGTTTTTAGTAGCACAGCTTCATGTCTGGTAAGTAAAGCTCTTCAAAGTTACATTTACTACAGTTTTTTGTATCAAGGAAAGGAGAAATTTGTCACTCAGCTAAACCATGTTAAATTGTGCCAGATTAAAAAAAAAACTTCAACATGCTACTTCTAAGAGTTTCTTCACTCTACTAGTTTAAAACCTTCATTCTTTTCAAAGCTTCGTCAGCCTGAATGGAAAGGTCATTTATTTATCTGTTTTTAGGAAAAGCTCACATTTACGTAGAAGTTCTTTGAATTGTGAGAACTTGTGGTAACTTGACTTACTAGTTGTCAGAAGCCTTTAACAAATTATAGCATTAACATTTACATTTTCACCTCTAAAACCTAACTACAGGTTACATGAGTGCCAAGTTTGTTTCATGTGGAATATTTAACACCTCAAAGTGATTTTTCCTTCATTAGTTAAATAATCATCCAAGAAAAATAACTAGGAAAAACTTATTTTTTATCTAAAGTTAGGTGCTTGAGAAGGTCAGAATGATAGAATAATGATATAAAGGAAGGAATAATTGTTTTCCATTTGCTTGCCTTTTTAGAAATTAATTACATTAGATGTAAATTATTTTGTAAAAATATTGTCAAATTAATTTTAACAATACATTTCATTGTTTTACAATCAAAGTTTATTGTGGTAAGTACTTCTGAAAAAAATTCTTATGTTTATTTTAAAATATATTTAATGAAAACCTTAATTGGAATATGCTATGATAAATAAACTGTTGTGACTTTTAAAAAGAATGTTCCTATTTTTTTCTGTTTTCATAAAGTATAAATGCAATTCTGTAGTTTACTTAGAATTACCTCTCACGTAGATTAGCAGTACCAGTTCTCAAGTTAGTAAACATTAGTATGAACCTTATTCTAAAATTAATGGCTTGACTATTTTAATATTTTTGAAGGTGGGCAACATCAAACAAATAGTCACTGCAATTTATTTTGTCAAACAACTACCTTTTTGAAAATGAGTTAAAAACAGATGATAGGTTAAAATAAGCAGCAGTGATATCCTTATTATAATGAAGGAAGTGTAAGAATGAATATGTGAATTAAAAATCTGTACTTGTTTTAGGAAGAAAAGTCAGCATTTCCTATTATGTGATACAATATTATATTTATCAGAATCAAAATAGTTTGGGCGATGTATACAACTTTAGCTTTAGCTCTACCCCAGGCCTTCAGTTCCAGGATTGCCTGGAATTCATTGAAGAAAGAGGTTGGCTAATGTATGGAAAGAAAATACATTGATATATGTAGCAATGATTGATTTGTCAGGTATGAGGAGAGAAGTCAGCACTAGAGCATGGTAAAATCTTTGTTTATGAATTGAGAAGCTGTGTAAATTATGAAACATGAATTTGGAAAAATTGATATCAAAGCAAGTATAGTCTGGTTTCTAAACTCTCTGATAATGCGGCAGAACCTTCACTTAAGAAATTAATGTGGGTAAAGAAAATTTCAAAAACTTATAAAATTATTAACTGAATGTTTAAATGTAGCCGTATGGTAAAAAATATGTTTTGCAGCTGTGTTGATCTGGCTAGAAAATCTGTCATTTTAATCTCAAGTGGCAGTTACTGTAAATGGGAGACTCATTCCAGTTTCCATGACCTCATTCAGAGTGTTGCTAAATTGCTGTGTGACAGCACAACGCATCTAAATTCATTGCAACTTTTCAAGCATTGGGTTAAAGGCATGTTGGGAATTAGTGTAGATTTTTTATTTCAGCCAATGTTAATTGTATTAGCTTGTGATTTTTTTTAAATTAGAACTATGCAAGGCTTTGTCTTTTGCTTCCAGAAATGTGTGTCAGGACTGCATAGGGTTACCAATTTACAGGTGTTTAAAAGCAGATCTTTATTTTCTCAGGATTATGCAGCAGGGAGCTATTTTAAAGACTTTCTGATAGATACTGTGTTCAAACTCTTGGTCGAATCCCCCCTTTTTAAATGTGGCAATTGGAGGTGTGATAGATTATTGGACACAGTAGCTGTAGTTGTATGCCTCGGTCCCTCTAACTAGCTGGTAATTAGTATACTGCCACATCTTGTGTCAGACCTGTACTCCAATTGAAAGCTGCTCTCAGAGAAAGGGCTGCAACAAGGCAGTGGGCTGGAGGGAGATGCCAGGAAGAGAAATGTGCTTGCTTGTTATCATGAGGAAATAGATCTTGGTGTGAGAGAACATTCCACAACAAGTACATCCATCCTGGATCAGCAGCAAAAAGCGTTTAGTGGAAGTCTGCCATTTTGAAGACCTTAACAAGCCAGCAAGAATTTACTGATTCTCTAGCAGCTTTGTGTTGTTAGTTGGAAGTACAAATACTAGATCCACCCAAGGTTAGTCAATCCCCAGAATTCTGTTGCTCCCAACCTCACACTTCATTATCATCTCATTAATCGAAACACCTTACTCTGATTTTCCCATCACACGATCTGATAGTTCTAGAAATTCATGTACTTTTGCCACAAATATTCACAGTGTGCTGTATATAGGGCTGCTATTGAAGAATACTTGGAAACTGCATCTGATTTATAATCCTATGGCCACCTCAGTTGGTATACTCATATAACCCCTTTTCTAGTTGCCAGTAAGCTTCCATGTGCAATTCAAAGTTTTTCCATCAGCGAGATCTGATACACTGAGAATGCTCCAGGTCTCAACTTTAAAATGGTGCCATTTGATATTGTTCTAACACAAACTCTAGCATTAACTCTTGTCTCTAGGAGGAGCATTTTTATTTTGTCAATCTCTGAAAATTTATAAAAAATAGACCAAGAGAAGCAAAATCGCTATTTCTTATACATTAGAATTGTATTTTTTACCTGTGGTTCATGCTAGTTTAATTGTATCTATATTGTATATTTTAGCACCCACACAGTACTTTCAAAATATTGTCTAAATCTCAAATTTAGAGTAACACATGCAAAACCAGTACTTCTTTTAATACACTGAATTGTCAGCTTCAAGAGTGACATTGTTTTGGCACAGAAATTGAAATTCCTTGATACATACATTGGATTTGTTCTTTTTCAAAGGAGTTGATTCTTTATTTGGAATAATTAATACTGTTCCAGTTTTGTACCAAAAGACATATAATAACCTTACGTGTTTTCATTTTAGGAGATAGCTGTCAGCCTTGGAAGCCATATTTCAAGGAACTCTGACAACAGCCTGATTTCCATGTTTAGTTGAATATTGATTCTAATGAATTGAATCTGTGGCTCAGTCTTAACATATTTGCCTGGGATTAAACATTAGTTGAAAACAATTAAAATTTCAAGTACATGTGTTTAAAAGTGAGATTCTGAATGGATTTCCTCTGCTGACTTTTGAAGATTTATTAATATTGCAGCCCTATAGCTGGAAGACAGCTAAAAGAGATAATATAAATTAATCAGCCACTTTCCTGTGATCTGTGGAATGCTGTGGCTATGTTCTGTGGAATGCTCTACCAGAAGTTGTGTTATTTTATATCCCAAAGTGATTTTACTATATACTATACTCTTAAAATCAGAATTTTTAACCAGTCTCTTGAAATTTGTTTCATTTTTGGTTTATTTTATTTTCAATATATTTTCCATTTTTGTATGTGTCTATATTTTAAAAAAATGATTTGCTTTCCTCTAGGATGTGCCTAGTACGAATGAAGCAAGAGGGCAGAACAGGAAAATACATGTGTTACTATATAGTATATGCTATGTGGGAAGATGCTGAGCAACGTGGGAAGGTTATGGGAGTGAGTATTTCTTGATATGGATTCATTGATCACTTAAGTATCTTCTTCATTCTACTTTGTTCACAATACACATATATTGGGGAAGTATATGAGGAAAAATTGGAAGCTACTGTGTAGTATGAATAATAGACTGGCAAATTGTATCATCTTAGTTCAAGTCCTTACCATTTTCTACATGTGTTTCCCCTCCCCAGCTCCTGACAGCAGTTGTGGCACAATGCTGTGTTCATTATTATCACAGAAATGGAAAGATGTTGCTAGTAGAAAATACCAGATTGTTTTAAACTTGAAATCCCAAATATTATATGAAAATAATTTAATAAATACTACTATGAACAGTAACAATAATAATGTATAGCTGAGTGACCTTGGGCCAGTCATTCTTTCTCAGCCCAAATTACCTCCCAATACAAATCATATTAGTATTTCCTGAATTTTTTTAAAAAAATCTCAGTAACTCAAAGTAATTTGGAAAAGCAAGTAAACTGCCACAACAAATTGCATGTTGTGGTAACACATAACTAGTGTATACATAGAGTCGCTTTATGAGAGAAATGGGCAGTCTCTAAATATGATAAGGAAATTACAGTAAGTAATGTAGAAATGACATATGATTGTAGATTGAGATATGGCCACTTTCTTTAGTTTTACAACTTGCTATTTGGTGTTGTCAATGTGAGAACATCATGATTTGAATCAAGACAGCCTACTGCATTTTCACTTCCAACTTATGCTTTCCTAGTTTTAAACAGTATATTAATTCATAGACTGGCTGCTAAAATTGTTGCAATTTGAATCTCAACTGCAAAATGTTGGGACCCTTTAACCTGAGTTCTTTCAGCACTTTTCATTGTTGGCAAGAGGTAACCAAAACTTGACACAGCTGTAAAAACAAAATGAAAGTCTTTGGCCTCAGCAATTCTACTGGTGCTGGCAGGTTTCATATATAAATTTTATTCTGCTGCCCCTAAAACTTGAAGTTAATTTTGTTGGTTATGTACCAGGTGTGTCTAGTTTTGTGGCTAAACATTGTTTATCTAATTTTTCCACTTCTGATTTTTCTACCAAACGTTTAAAAAAGCATAAAAATTTATTTGATATTGTGATTTAAAGTGTTGATTGTAACATTAGGTATCATTTTTAAAAAAAAAAATTTAATTTCATTCTGGCCGTGCAATTTAAAGACATAGTTGTCAAAACTTCCAGCTATTCAGTTTTGTGAGTTTCAGCTAAAACATGGGCTTTATTTTTGTAAAATGTAAATATGTAAACTGCTGCTTGAAAAACAATATTCATCTCAATCACCACCATCATCATTTTGATAAATGTGACTCAATAAGGTAAGTATATGGGTAATCATATCCTATTTTATTATCTGTGTATACTTGAATATTTTGCTTATGCCCTCAGTTTCTATATTTCTCTTTTTTGAGTTGCATTACAGTTTTAAATGATTTTTATATTCCATCCAAATGGGGATATATAGTGGAAGTCAACTTGAGAATCAGAATATTAAATGATCTTCTTATCATCCCATCTTGTTACAAGTTGGTGGTCATAATGTTACATTTTGATTTAAACAGAAAGTTGTGTTTAATTAAAGATTTTGTGGCTTAGTCATTTGCTGCAGGTAGAATGCTACAAACAGCTTATGTTCTAACTACCATTAAGCAAGGTATAATTGTCTATATATTGCTACAGGTTCTATTTCTATATAAATATGAAACAGAGGACTTCATAGTAAGCTGTAAATTTGCTCATATTCTGAGAAATATGAAAGTTAGAAATATTTTAGAGTAGTGGTGTACAAGAGTGGAGTGGGTTTTTTTTTATGAAACAAGGACCACATTTGGCCTTTAAATGATGGGTTGAAAGCTACACTCAAAAAGCTAGGGAATCAGCCTGAACAAAAAATTAAGTTAGTTTCATTTAATTTATCTTTACATTTGATTTAATTTACTATTAACTTTAGTTAACATGAATGTAGTTACTTTCCAATCATATCAATTCTTCAGTCGATAAAAATTATAATTTGTTACAAAAGTTAAAACTCTTGTGAAGGCCACATCTAAAGTTTCGGGAGCCATTGATCCTCTCTACATTTTTGTTATAAAGCAAAGTAGTCAAACAATGGTATCAGATTTATACTTGGCCCTTTACTTATGTTCTGCAGCCCTCAAACTTTGAAAATTGACAGCACGTTTTGCTACCATGTTGAAGCAGGGAGAAAAATGATACCATAAGCTCTAATGCTCACTTCACATAATTAGAAAAAAGACAAAAACCAGCATACTTTTAAAAGGCCTTATTCAAGTAAGTGATGCAGTTCTGCCTACTTTGAATCATTGTGAATCTATAGCAACTCTCCCCTCTTCTAATGTGAAGTGCCAGTTCTACAAAGTTGTTCATTCCCTGTTCTGGATCTAAGCATTTTGGTAAAAACCTGTCAGTGAATTCTCTTTAAGTAGACCCTGCTGGTTTTTCTCAGTTATTTTTCAGTTGCCTCAATGAAAAGATGATGGAGGCCTCTTTCTCGGATACCAAATGGGAGCATTTTCCAGGCCATTTCTTTTCATTGTATTCCCATTATTGCCTTTATGTTATAACTTGTAGCATGGACTCTCAGCATTTAAATGGTTTATAGTTCTGAAAGCTGTTTACCTTTAGAAAGTAAGTGGTACTGTAGTTACTTGCTTTGTGTTCTCAGATTTATACAAAACAGGCATGGCATGGTCATTTTTAATGTATTTCTTTCTTTCAGCAATAGTTTTGGTACTATTGCAGTCTCCTCTTTTGAGTCCATACCATTGCCCACTCTTATCATATAAGGAGTTATTCTTACAATTAGAGAAATCCCCCCCCCCCTGCTTTTGTTGTTTGGAAGCCTATGTAGTGAATGCTGTAACTCAGGGCTGTCAAACTCATGTTGTCACAGTGTCGTCACGTGACATATCGGGACTTTCCTCCCCTTTGCTAAACTGGGCGGGGGTGGGGCCAGCACATAATGCTTCCGGGCCGCGGGCCATGAGTTTGATACCCCTGCTGTCACTGGAAACCAAGAAACCAATAGGAAAAACTACATTTGATATCATTGCTCCTTCTCCTGATCTTGGGATACATTCTCTCTTACTTTTGCTTACTTTTGCTTATTTTTACTGATGGCTGTTTTTTTCTGAAAAAGCACCTGAACTTGCAAAGTATGTTTTTTAGAGTCGATAATTAATTACATAACATACTCTCTCTTCTCACAATAAGTACTAACACTATGGCATTATCTTGTAGTCTGCCATCCTTCCTCGGGAAACCTTGACTTGATACTTTCTACACACAATAAAAAATAGGAAAGCCTTTATCCTTACCATTCTCACTTGTTAATTCCTTTTCTTACTGTCTCAGCAGCAAATGAAACCTTGGATTTAAATAATGGATCTTTTTCTCTTGTCCCTTTTTCTTGCTTTTCCAGGGGACAACATGTGCAATTCACCAACTTTCAATAATATTACTCTCCTGAATGCTAATCTAAACTCACATGAAGAGCCATCTAAAATTGTGCAATCAAAACAAATTTTGAATAATATCTCTATATAAATTGATTTGCAACATCAAACAGAAAGAAGCAAACCTACAAGTTGCTGAGATATATAAACTATTGTTTATATTTACTTATTCCCGACCTTTGTTTCTTTAAAAATTTCAAGAAAAGCTTAAATCTTGTGGAAAATATGTGCAAATCAGATTTTGAAATTAGTATTCCTTGTGACAAATAAACATTTATTTAAACAAAACGTTGCTCTCAGGTTGAAGGGACACTGTAATCCCACTACATCTAAGACTTGTTTGTTCAGTATAAAATCCTGATTTGTAGCTGAGTCTGCCTTAAAAATTGTACAAGATGATAGGAGCAGGAAGGGGCCATCCAGCTCAATATGCCAACCACATTTTAATTTATCTTAATCCTACCTTCCTGCTTTTCCTCCAGACCACTCAGGCCCCTCCTTTTCCAGAAACACATTGAAGTGTTTCTTGAATTCATGTATTGATTCTGCAAATGGAGTACAATGAAGTCTTTGTTTCATGTTAGGTAAAGCTATTTATGCTTGGTAGCCCTCTTACCTTCCCTCATTATGACTTGATTTGACTGAAGTTTGCTAAAGTTACTTCATACTGCAGTAGTAAATCTGAAAGAATCTGACTGTTAAGTAACTAAAATAAAACTTTCACTCCTTTCTTTTCTTTTCCTGATTTGCCAGAAGATGTCCTTGTCTAATTGTAGTAGTTACAATTAATATATTCTGAATTTCATAGATGCCCAAAGTAACAAAAGTCTAAAGTAACAATGTATATAATGAAAAAGAATCTATAAATTGAATTAGAATTGATAACTGAATTGAAACCCAAGTATAGGAACCAAGATAATCCATTTCATCCAAGATTGTCTGTGAGCTATCTTCCACAAAAACTTTCCTAAAAATGAAGGTTGAGCATCTCTAGTGAGATGTTTTTTAGGATAAGGTATCCCAATGTCTTTCTCCCTGTGAAACATTGCATTTTATCTTCAGGACTGCCTATTCCAGTTAGAATTTGCCCACTCACTGTATTCTAACATAGTTTTCAGATGGTCTGTATTTGATGAGAGGAACATAGAGTCAAGCATTTTCTGTAAGAGCTCTTCTCCTCAGAGGCAAGATTGAACTCATTGCTCATAGTCTTTTGAACATTTGTTTAAATATAGTTACTTCAGAGGACTTTGGGGAAAAGATTGTCATTCTGAAAGGGATGTAACACTTTGAATGTTGTATCAAGATACATTGTTGTTATTTTTTATTTTAAAAGTTTTATTTTGTATGTTGTTTGAATAGTTGTTTGAATAGGATACAATTTGGAGTAGGATACAATTGAAGTCTAAAAGTCCCATAAATAAAATATTCACTCCTCATCTTATTGCCATTGGCACTATATAGGTTGTGTTTCTGCTGGTTTTCCTTCTGGAATTTTTCAATGTCCCAGGGTGTTGAAGGGTATCCCAGGCTCAAGATGTGGAAAGAAGTTATTTCAGGGCAATCACTTTGAATATCCTTTTCTCTGAATTCCAGAGACTGACCAGTTGCCGAGATTGTAAAATTGCTGAGAAAATCCCTTAGAGCAACAGATTTGATATGGATCAGTTGCAATGGTACCATGCCAATGAACCATAAACTCACCAGAGTGTGGTCTGGCTATGACCAAGGACTAGTCATGATGTCCACTTTCAAATTACAAACCATCTATTTCAAAGTAAAGACTAGACATTTAAGACAAACCCATGGATGTTGTGAATTCCTGAACCATTCCAGACTCCACTGTAAAGACACGGGAACTGAAAGCTCCTAGCACTGACAACAGAAGAATCTAAAAATAGCCCCATGATAAGAGAGGTGTTCAGGTAGAGGTTTCAGTAGACATGCTAATAAGCAGAAAGGTAAGCAGTACAGTAGAACAGTATGAACCCTAACTTTTTCCTACAGTCCAGTTTCAAATACTAATATTCTGATCTGTTCACCAAGATATAAACAGGACTAGTCTATTGAAAGACCACCCTGGTACCCATCTCTGACTAGATTTTATTCCAGATATATGCTATACCCCAAAACAGTAATAGTCACCACTTGATTTTGAAGTTTGGTAAAAGTAATGCTTTTTTGTTTCTTAATTCTAAATTGTCTTCCTGTCTCTGTTGTTAAAAGAATATTGCTTTATATTTCTTTCTTTAGCTGATGTGTACTTCCGTATTTTGTTTGTCTTAGGGTAATGTCAATACCCAATTGAGGTCCAAGTGATCCATACCAATTTTATATCCTTCTCTTCAGCATTGCTCTGATACTGTTCTTGTTTATGAAATGCAGGGTGGCAGTGCCTATTTTGAAATGCATACAGTTCACTTCAGCATACATTATGGTATAACGATACAATCCATTCAGTTTTTTATGCAAGACCTCACATCTTATTAAAACTTTCCCTCAGGAAAACAAATATAGTTTTCAGTTTGTCTCATTGAGAATCTTGCTAATCCATTGATTTATAGAAGCAGATTCTTTCTTCTCAATCTCTCCTGCACTGAAATAAAAAGTACTGTATTATGTTCTAAATGTGCAAGGTTAGAAATCCATAAAAAACCTTTAAGACTGGCTATCTCCCAATAATGTTTCAAGTTGTGTCAATTAATAAGTGGCCCCCTCTCCCTAATATTAGAAAGAAAAATATTTGCCTGATTCTAGAAGACATTGGATGAAAACTTTGCCATAAAGTATCCCTTGTATGTATCTGTCATTAAAAATGCGCAAACTTCTTAGAATTCGCAAAGACAGTACTGGTGGTATTGATGAACCATTTGGCTGTTACAACTGAGGAGCAATCTATTTATATAATAATATATAAATAAATATTGAAGACTGGAATTCTCCAGGAGTCTGGTCAACTTACTCTCTGTAACATTTTGTGGTTCACTTTTTTCCCTTTACTTGAGGGCAGAACTAGGGCAAAGAAATAATTTTTATTCACTTCAGAAAGGTTACAGCAATAAAGAAACTCTTGTTAATATCAAGGAGCATGGCAGCCAGGAGTTTTCACAGTCTGGCATTGTTTGTTTTACCAGCAATTTGGAACCTTCTGCACTCTTAAAATATTGGCAAGAAAATATTTAACTATTAACTGTTTTGTGGCAGGCATGCCTTGTGTAAAAGAAACCCTTGAAGAAGCATAATTCTCTTCCTCTACTTTTGAAAGATGTGGGAAAAGTTAAAATCCTGTAACATATATGCCATCCTTTATGGATAATTAAAATGTCCATTTTAAAAAAACACAGTCCAGAAATCCACATATATAAAAATAACAAGAAATGCGGCAGAAATTAATAATAAATGGATTGGGGGAAAAGAAGGATAATTAGCAATCAAGTATATTTGTCTCTTTATAATATGTTGGATGAAAACACTGAAATGTTCAAATTAGTCATTGCTGTATAACCAACTGCTGATTGTAACGAGAAATGAAAGGGGCCTTAGGTGTATGTGATTTCCCTTCCTTTCTTCCCTTTGGCTATAAAAAGACATTTTGCTTTTGTTGTTGATTAACTATAATTTAGCATAATATCCAAATGGCTGTGATTACTTCCAATTATGATTATTTTGAAATAGACCATTTTCATATATGGATTTGAACCTTACTTGTTCTAATCATAATTGAGCTAATCATGATTTGCATCAGAATGTTACTCTGAAATAAAGTCGTCTTGGGGCTATGCTGTATATAAAACAGAAAGCATGTACACCTAGTGTTTGTTCCTGTAAGTATTAGTCATAGTTTAAATGTTATCTTTGAATACAGTGAAGGGATTTTTTCAAAGATAGCTTTCCTATGTTATATATAAAACTAAGAATCTTAGCACATTTTGAATGTGTATCTTTTAACTCCTCAGTTCTGACAATCTGGGAACAATTTTAAAGCTGTAAGCTATGCATATTTATCTGGAAGTTAAACACTGTTGGACTCATTTGGGTTTAGTTGTATCTAAAATTGCACTGTATACCTTCTGAAAGTAATCTTGAGCCATAGATTTCAGTGGCCTTTAATGCATCTGTGCTTAATTTATATTTTTGTGGGATTTAGAGCCCAGTCCTTAATCTGAAGCCTTTAGAAAACTTCTGAGCTTCTAGAATGATTGCCTATTTTTTCCAAAGATTCCTCATTTACTTTGATCAAAAGCCAATAGGAAAGTAATTCCTGTCCAAGTTCTGATCTTCACAGATCTGTGCAGGGCTTATTTTGCAGGAGAATAAGATATAGCTATCAGTAATTATAAGTCTTCCACTATTCATAACATTTGAGACAGGATTGTAATTTAAGATGTAATTATTGTTGAAAGCTAGATGTTGAGATTGGTGTAGTTCTGGGAAGATAGGATTGAGACAGATTGTTCAGAGTCCTCTCTAAGTTTATTTTCTTTAATGAAGTACTGTGTCTCTAGAGTTAGCCATAGAGTTTCTCCATATGAGGATAGCCATCTTAAAATTCTGCTGTTGTTATCCAGGGTACACTCCTCCTTCTCAGTTTAAGACTCATCTTTTTATTTATTGGCATGTAGGCAATAGATTTTAGTTTTCTTATGCTGTTTTTGCCTCTAATACCAGTCCTACTTCAGAGAACACATTGGTTTTATTTTTCAGGTTAATTCTCTTATCCTAAGAAGAAGTCTGAGAACCTTGACAGAAGTTTTCTATGCATCTATTTTTGGATATGATGAGGTAATGGTAACAGTTAAATTAAAGTTGAACATGCAGAGAACAGAAATAAAATACTGGTATTAACATGAGTTAGACTCATTGTGTGGTCAAATGCCCTGAATATTTGTTAATGTTTCCTAATATTTCTGCTATTGGTGATAGGTAAATGAAGCTAAGAGAATGTGCTGTGGCCACTAGAAAACGATCATAGATTACAAAGTTGAAAAAGCCATCTAGGACATAAAACTCAATCCTTGTATTAGAGAAATCCAAAATAAAATATCCCTGATGGATGCCTGTCTATGTCTACTTGAACATTCAGTGAAGAGGACCTCACACTGTCTCTTATCTATAGCATCTCTTTGGGAACCTGATACCAAATTGTTCATAGGAGTCTGTATTCTGTTGAAATTTAACTTTTTTGCTCTCTATTGAATTGTACTTGTTTTAATACATGCTCCTGAATAACCCATCATAATGTTGAATCTGCTACCTGGATCCCCTTGTGTTATACTTGTTTCTAACCACAGATTGATTGCACGTTCTGCAGTCCTGTCTATAGCTGTTAGCACACAATATTATTTTATGTAAAGTAGTCAAAATCTAATATATTTAAAAACTATATTGTTATCTACAGGAACTGTAATCTCCTAGTATCCTTTTTATTTTGTTTTCCTTTTAAATATTTTTAAAATAATCTTTATTCTGTTTAGTAAAGCAAATAAGGGCTTCTGTTGAAGTGCTTAGAGGTTGTTAGGCTCTAGAGGGGTAGACTTGACCATAGTAAAACAAATGAGCTTTGGGTTGAGGGATCCATTCTTGGGGATTGTCCAGCATTACCAAATAGGTTTTAAGAAAATTCCTATAGTTATCCATATTTTAGTCTCCTCTTCTTTGGACTACTGCAGTGCAATTTTATGTGGCGCTATCCTTGAAGACAGTTCAAAAGCTACAAGTAGTCCTAAATCTCCAAATAATTAAGTGATTGTAGTACATGTAAAGAACAATAGTTTTGACTAGGATTTATCTTATTCAAACGGACCCGATTTGCAACTTCTTCTGGGAAATAGTACACATTGTGACAGAAGAAGACCCATTGCTGGTCTCCCCTACAGAGCTGAAAATGAACAGAGTAGTAATAACCTTTCTATTTAGTAGTCATGCATAAAAATAGCTAGGAGAAGGTAGGAAGTGAAGCAGGATCAGATATCTCAAGCATGGCAAGTCTATAATAATGGGTTTATTATAAATCCTTCAGGGGTCTCCAACCTTGGCAACTTTAAGGCTTGTGGGCTTCAACTCCCAGAGTTCCTCAGCCAGCAAAGCTGGCTGAGGAACTCTGGGAGTTGAAGTCCACAAGCCTTAAAGTTGCCAAGGTTGGAGACCCCTGCAGTCTATAACATTGAGATGGACTGCTAGTTAAGGCACCAGACTAAAAACCAGGAGACCAGGAGATCTAGTCCTGCCTTAGGCGTGCAAACAAGGGCCAGTCTCTCTTTGTCAGCCCAACCCGTCTCACAGGGTTGCTGGGGCAAAAATAGGAGGAAGGAATATTAGGTCTGTTCACTGCCTCGAGTTATTTATTTAAAAAATAATAAAGATAGAATTAAAAAAAAAAAATCTTTAAAAAGCAAGAGGAAAGTAATGAGATCTCAATTACTATCTGCTGTAAGAGGCCAATGATGTTTAACAGAGTTGCTGGAGGCTTTTATGAAAGCCTTGTCCAATTTCCCCCTAACCAACCCGAGACAGCATATTTCCCATTGTCACTAGCAGCAGCACACCAAAAGGTCCGTTTCACGAGTTAGCTACAAAAAAAGATTGGCATGGCCTAAATGATGCTAAGTTGTTTGCTTGTCTGTTTTTTTTCTATCTGTAATTTCTTCTTTACAGTAAGCCTCTGGTAAATCATGTTGCCTCTTTGCTGTAAAGGATTGTCCTGTATGAATTACAGCTTTTAAAAGAAAATCTGAGCATCTTCCTTAAAAATGTATTTTAGGGGATACTCTCAGATGATCATGTACTTGCAGCAGCTATCTGGAGAAATCTGTTTGAAACACATTGCAAGGATCCTAGGCAGCTGGCAATGATGGTAGAATATGTGCGCAAGCAGGTAAGTACCATAGAATAAGGGTTCCTTTACTATTTCGTGAAGAAAAAAAATGATCGGTGAGAAGCTAAGTTGTCTTGATTTTCATTTTGGTAATTAAACTTCAGGGTTTTCCATAATATTGTGTCTCCAAAATACATGCCTTGATTCTTGTCATTCTGCTTCTTACAGCAATTTTCAAAAATCAGTTTTTCCCTATCTAAAGTTCTTGACTTCTCACCCCCAAAGGAAATCATATTATCTGCCTTTCTGTTGTATTCTGGCAGGCAGAAAAGTTTTTATTCAAGCACATATTTAATGTGTAAATCAATGGAATTCTATTAATTGGGAAAGGCTATTTAGGAACTTGGTGTTTCTCAGCAACCCCCATCTGCAGTTTATCAAGACATTTACATCTTTTTCCAGTATTGCACAACTACTTTGAGGAGCCTGCTTCTGTAGTCTTTGAAGGAGATGTAGCTGCTTTAATGAAACTTAGGTGTTCATATTCCCATATGTTGTGAAGCACCTTTGAAGCTGAATGGGTGCTATTTTAAGAACACATTTCCAATTGTGTTTTAATTATGGTTAATGTACATAGTTGGTTGTTTTAATATTATATTATTAGCCATTTTGTATTTATTTAGCATATAGCAAGCCATTTGTATGCTATTTGTTGATGGAAAGACTGGATGTACATTAAACTAGTAAATAAAGAAATAACTGGAGACTGGAATCCCTGTATTCTGGGGAAGGATTCAAAAAGTGTAAAAAAAAACACTTTTACAATGGGGTTTTCAGAGTTCTACCCTTAGAGCTCCTACTGATAATCGAGACACCTTCTGGAATTGTACTATGATAACAAAACTAAGAATTTCAGTAGAGCAACCACATTGACATAAATTGTATTTGAATATTCTTAATAACAAAGAGAACCTATTTTTTCTTTCTGGAGCACTCATTAAACAAATAATGGCCCCATTTTCCATCAGTATCCTGAAGGAAGAAATCATCCTTCCAACAAATCTGTAAGTGACTTGCACTATTTTGCTGTGATTATCAGGTGCAGCATCTGGATGCTATGTCAGGAGAAGACCTGCTGCTGTCTGGGGAAGTGAATTGGCGCCCCCTAGTGGAACCTAATCCACAAAGCATTGTAAAGCCTGTTTCTCCAGTATATAATGATGAAGGACTTTGAATCCTTGGCAACCAACTTGAAAATGTTTGCTGTTGTGTATAGTACCTTTATACATGGAACAATTTCTGGAAGCAGAAACTGAGAATTGTTAGGAAAAAGCATAATAAATGCTGTATTGCTATGTTAAAAAGTGATTAAGAGTTTGTTCTTTTGTAATTATACATTCTAATAAATCTAAATACCATGGTGTTTTTAGTAATACATATATAAATAGTTGCTATTATTTATTTGTGGATTCTTTTACAATTATATTATCCGCAGGTCCTGGCAGCTCAGAAATTTAATCTTTTGTGGGAAAAATAGTCTTACATGAGAAGCAAAATATTTTCATTGGAGAAAACTCATTTGTTGAAGCTAGTATTTGCTTTGAAAGAGGAATCCCTACTGAAAATTTCACCTACTTTTGTTCTAGGGCTTATAGGAGGAGGAAAAAAGGCCAAATTAATTTAGCCTCAGTAATAATCAGATTTTTCTTCTAGCGGATGTGATTTGCATTTAAAAAAAACCTGTATGTTCAATGCAACTCTAATTTTATCATCTACTTTGGTCCTATTACCCATAGCTAGAAATTCTAGTATCAAGGTCCATTGTTTTGGTATTATTAAGGCAACTCAAAGGCTTTTTCTCTGCAGCTTATCAAATGTATCTTCATTTAGAAATTATCCTGATTTGTTCATATAAAGCAAGTTGACACATTATTCCTTTTTAGAAGAGAAATTTATTTTTTTGTTGTCATGGGTAGCACTAAATATCTTCCTGTTTCACCTTTTGGGTTTTTTTTTTTTTTTTGCTTTAATGGAAAAGTTGAGAAAGATATATTCTCGACACATTTAACTAAAATATAGTTGTCTGTTTTACATTTTAAGCAGTGCTTTATTCCAGAAGTTTATAGTTTGATGTATATATGTATATATTACAATTGTGTAATATGTGATCAAGGTTCTGCCAATGCTCTTCTGCTCTTATATGTTCTCCAAAAGCTCTTGAGTGCTATCATATTTTTCTACATGAACTGTGGGGCAAGACTTTTGAAAATGACCAATTCTTTCCAGAAGTTTAAGAAGTTCAAAATATAATTTCAAGCAGGCAATGCTGTTACTGGGTTATTGCATATATTTTGCTCTCTATGATCATGTAAAAAGCCAATACAGAAGACGCTTTATTTGAGAGAAGAAAATTAATGGAAATTCTACTAAAGAGCCAATATCTCTAACTCAATTCAAATGCATAATCTGGTCCTATAATATGTATTATTGGAACATCTTTGGGAAAGGTTGATTTTTCACTAACGTTTCTGTTAATGAAGGTAAGCAATTATATTAATCATTTGAATGGAAAGGAATATAATCCATTTGCAAAACTGTCTATGCTGAATGGGGCAAATATATCATTCTAGATGCTCTTTTGTTGTATAGGTCAATTTCCTAAAACTAAACCCACTAAATGCAACCCCAAGCATTTAAATTATTATTTTTTTTGTAAATAAAGCTTACTCAGCTAAATCTATAATAAAATGATGTGTTACGTTCTACTTTTATAAAAACATTATAAATCAGGCACTTTCCCCTCAGTTTATTTAAGATGCCTTTGTCGCAAGCTGTGCTACACAGCTATGAAATGTTATGCAGAGGATATGTGAGACTAATACTTGCAATTTATTATGGTTGTATTATATTTATAAAACAAGGCTTAGCTGTGTAAGGATCAGCTGATTAATTTTTTTAATATAAATGAAGAACCAAAATAAATTTACTGTGTCTCTTGTTGCTCTGTGAATTCACAGAAAAAATGAACAAATTGAATACATTAATTCTTAATGTGGATATTAATTAAAATATTTCCCTTTCTATGTTTAGAGTTGACTTCTTTAGCTGGTGCCGGTAAACATTGAAGTGGCTTGAGGTGCACCAGTCTTGGAACAATTTATGAACAGTTAAGCATAGTAGTTTAAAATGTTGCACTAGGACATAGAAAATTCAAATTCAAGTCCACCATCATGAAAATTCAGTGGGTGACTTTGGGCCAGGAACTCTCTCTTATTTTAGTCTATTACACAGAATTGAAGTAGGGAAAATTTGGAAAAGGAATCTATGCAGGCTTGAATTGTTGGACAAAAGGTGTGCTACAAGTTCAACAAAAAATAGGTACCGTATTTGCCGGCGTATAAGACGACTGGGCGTATAAGACGAGCCCCCAACATTTCCACTCAAAATATAGAGTTTGTTATATACTCGCCGTATAAGACGACCCCCCCACTTGGAGGCATGTTTTTCAGGGCAAAAAAGTCATACGCCGGCAAATACGGTAAGTTGTAACACTTGGGGTATTCTGGATATAATTCTTGATTGACACCCCCGTCCCTTTCCCCCAAACTTACAAAGCCACCAAAATGCTTTAGAGAGGCAGCTTCGCCTTTCTCAGGCTGGCACTCAATTCCTCTCCCTTTCTTTGCGATCTGCTTTTTTCAGGGGAAAATAAATAAATAAAAATAAAACTGGACGAAAAACAGTCGAGTTGTTTCTTAATATCTTTCCACCTCCCCAACCAATTTGTCTCCAAGGGTGCACCACACTGATTGCGACATTAATTATTTCAGAGAGAGAGGGTGGGGGGGGGAGAAATCTTTGCTTCCTACTGTGGCTTTTTCCTGCGCATCGTTTTTTCCCTTGGCTTTGTGGTTGTTACTTCTTACAGGGAGGGATAATGAAATACCCACGCTGGGAGAAAGCGGAAAGGATGTCTATTTTCCTGCTCACTAACTTTCCAGAAAGCGTCGAGTTCCTACCCCGAGACTTGCCAAAAGTCCAGTTCATTCATTTGCTACCTTTCTCCAATGAGATCCAGATCTGTTTCCACAACGCGCTTAGGATCTTATCTTATTATTATCTTATTAGCATTGCTCGGTCCCTCCAAGAGAGAAGAAGGCAGACGGTTTTGCGCTCAGGGAGAAAGGAAAAGAGCCTCTCGCTCACGCTGCACACTGCCCCCCCCCTCCACCCCAGCAACGCTTAGGAAAAGAGTTACACAAGCATCCTTTCCAGAAGTGAATGGGGGGGGGGGATTCGGAGCAAAGGCTGAAACCGGGAAGAGAAAAATTCCCAAAGAAAATCGCACGAGCAGCATCCCATTCCTGGGAGAAAAACAAAAAAACAAAAAACACGAACTCTTCCCGAAGCACAAAAGCAAGGATGGCGCTTTCTCAGCTTTGAGCTGCGTCGCTGCTCTCCCACCCCCTCCACTCGTCCCCACGTGCGGCGAAGTTTCTGCCACTGGGGGGGGGTGGAGGGGGATGGAAGGAGGTGAGGGATGGGGGCAAAGCCTGGAGCCTGCCTGTCCGCTCGCACGAGCGGAGTGGGTGGGTGGGTGGGTGGGGGAGGAGGAGGAAGAGAGACTCCGGCTGGGCTTGAAGGGGCTTCGCAAGTTGCGGAGCTCCGCCCCTGTCGCTCTTGCACCGAGTGACAACAACATATTTGCCGGCGTATAAGACGACCTTTGTTATATACTCGCCGTATAAGACGACCCCCCCACTTGGAGGCATCTTTTTCAGGGCAAAAAAGTCGTCTTATACGCCGGCAAATACGGTATATCAACTCTGTAACCAAAATCCTTGAAGTTTCTTTCCTACACCTGGGAACATACAGCGCTTAAGATTTCCTGAAATTTGAATGCTTGGCTTTAGATTGTATATGAACGGTATCTCTTGTATTATATGGATTGGGATTCTGATTACAAGTGCTTTAGTTCCAAAATAATTACAGAATTTTCCTGCTCACCCCCCCCCCAAAAAAAACCCCAAGATTTCTGCTGCTGAGCATGAGAGTTGTTAAGTGAGTTTTGCCCCATTTTATGACCTTTATTGCCACAGTTGTTAAGTAAATCACTGCAGTTAAATTAGTAACATAGTTATTGAATGAATCTGACTTCCCCGTTGACTTTGCTTGTCAGAGGGTCGCAAAAAATGATCACATGACAATGGAATACTGCAACCATCATAAATACGAGTCAGTTGCCAAGCATCTGAATTTTGATCATGTAACCATGGAGATGCTGCAATGGTCATAAATGTGAAAAACAATCGTAAGTTATTTTTTCAGTGCCATTGTAGCTTCGAGCAGTCACTAAACAAACTCTTGTAAGTTGAGAACTATCTGTATAAAGCTCACAAAGTTGCACACAAATATCTTGACTGAATATGTACAGAAGGAAAAAATGGGCCATATTTCACTTTCCTTGCCTTTTGTTGTATTACCCATGAACACAGGCTATATGATAATATGCACAAGAGCCTCAGTATACCGGAAAGCAGAACTATACTAAGCATTTTGAATATGATAAAACCATTTCCTCTTCTATTCAATTGTGTCCAATTCTCACAGACTCCGTGAATGAGTCCTTGCAGTTTTCTTGGCAAGATTTTTCAGAAGTGGTTTGCCATTGCCTTTTTCCCTAGGGCTAAGAGAAAATAACTGGCCCAAGGCTACCCAGCTACCTTTGTCCCTAAGACAGGACTAGAATTACCATTCTCCCTCTTTCTAGCCTGATGCCATAGCCACTTTACCAAACTGACTCTGGTAAATTAGGAGAACTAATTAGATTTATTATATTAATCAATATTCTCCAAGAGTTCAAAGGAGCATTATCTCCCAAGTTTTCTATACAACTATATGAGGTAGGCTGGGCTGAGAGGAAGAGAGCAGCCCTAAGTATCCCAAGAATATTATATGACAGGGTGGACGTGAACTTTGATCCTCCAGGTCCATAACTAATATTTGGCCCATTTGTTCCCAGGTATCTTTGATTTCCTTGAGCAGGCAATGTGTATTGCCTGCAGCTGATCAAAACTGGTGCACTTCACTAGGTATATACAGTATTAGCTTATATACCTATTCCTGGTTAACTAATTTAAGAAAAGTTAGCATACGTATAAGATTCTTGTAAACAAAAAGAGCCAAACAAGCACATTTTCATAGGCAACAGTAAAAGATAATGTAGATAAATATTAGAATGGGGCAACATGCTTATTTCACACACCACAAAGTACTGGAAAGTAATTAGCTAACTCTTAATTTGGTCAACTATGGTTAAATAATCATAGCTTTGAGTGATATGTGAGCCTAGCATAATACTAATCCTGAGTTGAGGGGAGGAATGGAATGGCTAACTAGCCTCGAATTACTGACGGGGAGGAAGTGGCTGAAAGGTGATTTGCCCTAAAGCTTTTCAGTGTTTATCTAGTAGTTTCTGTAGTGAGTGCATTAGTCTGGCAAAATTCCTGTCAGAGGGTGAGTAGCAATAAATATACCACCCTGATTAGCTCATTGTGTTGTTTCTGATTCTTTGTGCCTGATGTATCCCAAGCTATTTAGGTGGCAGAATTATGGAATACCTTGAATAAAATAAATCCTAGAAAGAGTATTTCATTATCAATTCTGAGCCCGGTATCATTAAAAACTGGATTCTTCTTTGGAGTTCTGAATTGCTAGTTAAATGTTTCACATGTACCAGTAAAGTATTATTTTTAATTAGAGCCAAATCACAGTTCTAGTCTTATTCGGAAAAATACTCCAAATTTTAATAAGTGGAAGTAGGTTACCATCTCAGTGCCCCAATTCTTCATGCAACTGCACAAAACAATTGCCTTAAGTTGGTTCTTGTTTGTTGTGTTCTCGAGGACAAAAATGTAATGTATAAGGAAGACCTCAAACATAATCTGATTATTGTCAACTAAAGTGACCAGAATCAAAGAACATATTCACTGTAAAAAGACATCCAATGTGATATGGTCATCATTTGTTCTCAGTGAATAGTAGTGGATTGCCAGGTTAGAAAAAAATGAGAGTGGCAGACTTTTTCTTAGGTTAAACACATGGAAGTTTAAAAGACAGAATAAAATGACAAAGTACAGATCTTAAAAATAGCCTAGGAAATGGGTTGCTATTATGTGGTAATTTTGGTGAAAACAAATGCTTGATACTGTTTGAATTAAAGCCATGTTTTCTGCAGGGATTTCTGTTCCAGCTCTGTAACCTTTATCTATATATCTATTTGTTTATCTATCCTGGTCATGTAATCCAAGTGTAAATTCATGGATCTGAGGTTACTTGCTTTTAACTGGGAATCAGGAGTAGAATCCAAAAATCTTCCTTCTAAAATGTTGCCCTAACAAAGAATTAATTTGGGAAACTAAAGTAATAAGTATTCCCTCCTTCTCCCCCCCCCCCCCCCCCGCCTTTCCACTGTGCATATCTGAAATTCTAGATCCGGTCCAATCTTCAAAGCAACATTAAACAATAAATAAAATTATTAGGATGCCCTGCCCAGAGTACTATCTTGGTTTTGGAATGTCTTTGCTGGGCATAACTGGCAGGGTATGTCAAGGTAATGAAATACTTGGCTCATTAAAAAATATAATACACACAAAACCTATGACTAAAAGTTAACACAAACACATGTCCTTTATTGTAGCACCAAAGGACTGGAGTCAGTAATATCACCCTCTAGACAGGTAC